CAGACAGGGTAAAGAGTCCCCGTTGTGCAGCTATCTAGGAAAGAGTACGCCCAGCAACATAACACTATCACCTCACCAGGTATAGAGGTGCAAGCCTGTAATCCCGAAGTGCTTGGGAGGCTGAAGCAGGACAGTCACTGTGAGTTCAAAGCCAGCGTGGGCTACGTAGTGAGCTCAAGGCCAGCCTGAACTAGACAGTAAGACCCTGTCCCAAAAAAAAACAAAATAAAGCAACCCAGTGTCTCCTCAGAGGTTCTTCAAGGGTTAAATGCATTAATATGTGCAAAGCTCTTAAAACAGTGCCCTGACAAGGAAAGTGCCCAGCAAATATTTGCTCTCCTTTTATTTGTTTGGTTGTTGTTTCTGGGGTGCTAGGGATTGAATCAGGGCCTGGCACAGGCAAGACCAGCTCCCTACCCTGAGCTACACCCCAGTCCCAAGATCTTGTTTCAGGTTTCATTCGCAGACTACAGCATCTCCCATAAAAACTGGCCCCCCCCCCCGCTTTCAGTCCAATATTAAGCAGTTCCTCTCGCTATTATGCAACAGAGAGGGGACTCTGATCTATATGCCAAGGACTGTTTACATGCTCAGGTTGCTCCAAGCACTGTTGACTCACCCAGGTTGAGGCCAGGGACAAGACCTCCTCGGGGAGGAGCCACGCAAGCCTGTCATCGGACAAGGAAATTCCAGAAAAAGCCCAGTAATTTGACAATCAATCAGTACGATAGAACGATAGAACGCATAGAGAAGGTGACAGCTTTGCATGGGGGGATCAAGGGAGCGAGGAGGAGGAGGAGGAGGAGGAGCAGGAAATGATCCAAATTGGTGAGAAGATAAGCGCAAAGGGCTGACAGGGAGGGAGGGAGCTGGTGTGCGGAAGGGTCAGAGGGCAGCCAGCATGGCTGGGGCTGAGAGTGAGGACAGTGTGAAAATGTGCTATCAGAGCCCTGGCAGAGGCCTTGTTACAGAGGCCGTGCTAAGCACTTTCTATTTCATTCCCAGGGTACCTGGGAGCTATGGAAGCATTCTGAGCAGTGGAGTGTGGTGATGGGACTTATGTGCTTTCATAATAATCTAAGCTGGGTGGAACGGTAGCTTGGGCATGCGGGGGCTTGGCAGGACACAGATTCAGGAATCGTGATGACAAGAGGACCGGAGGATTTGCTGAGGCGCTGAGTGAGCAGATGAGAGGAGAAAAGGAATCAAGGCTGCGCAAGGTTCGAAGGCTGCCCGCCTGGGTGAACAGTACCATCCTTCACTCACCAAGATGAAGAGGGCTGTAGGCAAAGTAGCTTTAGAGAGGGAAACTCAGGGCTCTGTCCCTGTCAGGGCCAGACTGAGATGCCTGTTAGATACCAAGTACTTCACAAGTGTCTGGGAGACAATTATACTAAGTCAACAAATTGCCCAGGCTCAAAGTTGGGCTCCTCAGTTGGATGTGGTGGCTCACCCCTGTAATCCCTGAAGCAGAAAGATTCCCGCAAGTTCAAGACCAACCTGGGCTACAAAGTCAGCTCAAGGCCAGCCTGAATTGCACAGTGAGACCCTGTCTCGAAAAGACAGAAAAAACAAAACAACAATGAAAAGATTTAGGTCAAAGGGGGAGACAAAGTTGAGGTCTATCATCTTAGAAGAGGGTATTTGATGCCCAAATAAATCACCAAACATGTAAATGGAAACCTCTAATTGTCATTTGCCCACTGACATACTTTCCTGAGCACTAGTGTGTAAGGGATGGGGGAAGGGGGACACAGCAGGAAGAAGGCAGGTCGCCCCCTTAGGAGGGATTCCGCGATTGCTGACAGCTTGCCCATCTATGAAATGGGTATGGCTGGGGCACTACATTCTGGCTGCAACCAAGCCACCTGGGGAGCTCTCAAAACTATGGAGGATGGGGCCTCAGCTCATCTTGGAAAGACTTGGACTTTACCAGCATTTCCGTGGGAGGAGGCACAAACTTCAGAACAGTCTTTGTAACAGTCTTTTGTAACTTTCTTTTCTGTGGTACCAGGGAATCAAACTCAAAACCTTGTGCTTGCCAGGCAGACACTGCACCACTGAGCTCTATCCCCCCCAGGGCCAACTTTCTTTTTTTTAACACTAGGGCTTGAACCCCAGGCTTTTGCACTGAGTTATGTCCCCAGCCATTTTTATCTTTTATTTTGACACAGGGTCCCACCAAATTGCCCAGGCTGGGGCTCAAGCTAGTGATCTTCCTGCCTCAGCCCCTCAAAAGTGCTAGGATTACAAACCTGGCCACTGCGGCCTGCTACATTTGTAACTTTATATTCAAGTATAACTAACAGGTACAACGTATGTCCAGAAAATGATACATATCAGAAGTGCACAGCCCAGTGAAGCAAGACCCTGTCTCAAAAATAAAAGTCAAAAAGGGCTGGGGATGTAGCTCAGCACAAAGGCCTTGGGTTCAGTCCTCAGCACCACAGAAACAATACCCTTAACCCTTCTCCATTTTGGCCAAAGACCCACTCTCCTGAAACCACAGAATAGCAACATCTATCCTTGTGTTTCTATGTGGGATCTTACAGTGTGGAGGCTGGAGTCTAGACCTCTCTCTCTGCATTATGTCCAGGAGCCGCATCCGGGTTGCTGTGGACCATTCGTGCCCAGCGCTGCATTCACAGTGCCACACCGAGAACGGCCATAGAAGTCTATCTGTCTATCCAGCGCGCAGAGACAGGCAGTGGACGCTCCCCCTGACGATTCTACTTTGCTTAGAAGTGCATTTCTAAATCCAGTGCCCCCCATCCCACCTCCTCCGGAGGCCCCGCCTATCAGAGGCCCCGCCCATCCGAGGCCCCGCCCCCAGGCGGGCCGCCACTTCTCACCAGACAGTACCACCTCCACCAGATCGCCCTCCTGGATGTCCCCCGCAGAGCGCACCAGTTGCAGGAGGTTGGCCGATGTGGGGTCATGTTTGAAGAGCAGGATTTTGTCATAAAGGCCATAGAAGCCACACTCCGGGAACTGAGGGGCAAGAGAGAGAGGTGGCGACGGAAAAGCTTAGGGCTGCCTGCACAAGAGGGCTGGAACCCTCCCAGGGCAGGGCCGGCTGTTTCCCCCGGAAACTCAGGGACCCCGCAAACCCGCCCCGCTTCCTGCCTGCCTGCCTCTCCCAACCCAGAACGAGCAAGACAGGATGCCGGGGCCCCAGGTGGGCCGGCAGGGAGCGCTGGCCTGAGTCTAGTGACTGCGAGCTGGGTTGGTGGCGCTGGGAACTGGACACCTCGAATTTTCCAGGGCTCGAGGTGGGGGAGCCTAGGTTAGCACCCTTCCCCACTCGGCCACCACCCCCACCCCAGCTTCCTTCCTGGATCTATTGTTGTCGTAGCCACCTGGCTCGAGGCCCAGTATTGGTGCAGAGCAAGCTGGAAGGAGGGGTGGGCTGGGTGTCAAAACACTGGAGTTCGGGAGGTTGCCCCTCGCTCTATGCTGAAAGGACCCAGGTGTCCGGCCCGCTTGGGGAGGGGGGCAGGAAATGAAACCTGACAGAACAGAAAGTGAAACCGCCCAGGTGGGGCATCGGGAAGGCAGGCAGGCAGAGGCTCTAAGCACCTGGAGCCGGAGAGGAAAAAACAAAAATGGGCTGAGGGCTGAGGCTGGCTGGGGATTTCGGCTGTTGGAGCATTTCACCCAGGGGAAGATGTGCCCTATAGATTTGGGGGCTTGGTGAGAAGCCAAGCACTGTTCTTTCTCTGCAGGAAGTCAGCACAGCCTTGACTTTGGCCACCTCAGAGGTCTCTAAACTTGTTTCCTCTGTAAAATGGGGGAGTTGGACCAGTTCCCAACATCTCTCTGAAGCCCACAGGATTTGTTTCCTGGAGTCTGAGAAAAACTGGGATTTAGATATTTTGGGATTCCAACATGCTCACATAGAATTACTCTACATTCCAACATATTAACATGATACATTTTAGGATTTCAGAGATCTAGATAAGCAGTAATCTCATATTTTTATGTTCTAGAACTCTGATAAATTAGACTTACGAGTATTTTATCATTAAAGGACTTCAACCCAGCACCCCCAAGCTCTACATTTTAACACTAGAATCCCTACAGCATAGGAATCTAAACTTCCAAGATGTTAATGTTTTAGTATTTTAACAAGCTAGCATTTGAACACTTCAATGTCAGAGGAATTCAGTTAGCTATGATGCAAATTTCAATTACTTAGTGTTCAACAATTCTAACATTTTTGGGCCGGGGAGATGGCTCAGTAGAATAAGCACTTCCCTGGCAAGCTCACAGGCCTAAATTCAATCCCTGGTTACAAACAAAACAAAAAAACCACAATTCTAACATTTTTAATCTGGTATTTAAACAAGACAGGAGCTGGGGAGATGGCTCAGTGGAATAAGTGCTTCCCTGGTAAGCGCAAGGGCCTGAGTTCAATCCCTGGTTCCA